TTTGAATTTCTAGTTGGTTTTAATTACTCTGGTATTTGTAATGAAAAGATATGCAGGTCCTGTGCACAGGAATTGCTGTGCACAACAGGAATTCTCTCATTTCTGTGAATGGCAGCATCCAGAACACGTGCCTAGGAGGGACCCCAGCTGAGGTGCTGCAACCAAGGCCCTGGTACCTTGTTACGAGTGCCTGGGCTCACAGGAGTCACACCATAGGAAACAATTCTGAAAATCCATCTTGTTGGAAAAATCCTGAATATCTGGGGATCTCATTTGGGACTCCCAGGTTTGCAAATCCCAGCCCAGTATTAGGAGACTCTTCTGCAAAATTACTTCTCTGGAATTTGCTTCCAGACTACTGGCCCCACATCCCGACTTCAATTAGAGACATTTGCTCAGTACCACGTAATTCATCTTGCAGAAATCACACCTTATTCTGTGCTCTTCAGCCACGCTCACAGAACTGGAACGCAAATCTGCCATCATCCCGGTGCGATGGTGTTTGTCTAGTTACAGTCAGCAGAAGGCTGGATGGCCAAATTCTCAGGCATTGTTGAGAAACCACTGAGGAATCTGCCCTCATCTCTGCTGGTCACCCTTTTGTATCTAGAATTTGCTCTCCTGATCTATTACAAAGGCCACAATCTTTTCTCACTCTCCGTTCCTCTCTTAGCAGGAGAAAACCAGTCACCTCTTGCCTTTGTATGGTCTTAAAATATTCTTTTCATGTGACTTTTTTTTTTTTTTTCTCTTTTCAGGAAGCTGATTTTGCTTCCCATGACAAAACCTAGGAAACAACCATTTTAGTCAAATCACACAGCCCGCTTCGCCTGGCAGTTTGCTTCTGTATTCTTAAATTTCTTTCCAAGCAGAAAGAATGCTGAAAGAGAACTGGTTTTATAAACATAAATTCTTCAGCAATCATTCCCTTTTGAAACGAATTTTCAGCTCCTCCTCTAATTTCTGTAATAAGAATCAGGATTTATTCCAGAGGTGAAACATTAAACAGCAGTTAAGGTCTGCAGGAAATACACCTGAAATTTACTCTAAGCAATTTCCAGTTTGTGAGCTGCTTTCCTGACACTTTTTTCAATGTTTACATTTCATGCCCTGTTTTCCTTAAAATATCCTTCCCCTGTTTTGGGGGTGTAACTCTCTCTCTGACTTACTGTTGTCTATAAACGTGTGTAATGGCCTCTTGTGTTGAGTCTGACTGTTGGAATCTAAATGTTCTAATGGTAAGAATAAAAAGCTTTCTCCAGCTGAAAACCCAAACCAAGCTTACGACTCCACCTTTACATCATACTGGAATGTACAAATTTTACTCTGGACAACAGAGAGATTTGCAAACTGAATTCATGCTCTGAATAACAAAAAAAGAAACAACAAACCAAACCCAAACATTCTGGGCTTGCTTATCCCTTCACCACCCTCAATGTAAAAAATGTCTGCATTGAATCCAGCCTGAATCTCCCCTCTTGTAGTTTAAATCCATCACCCCTTGTGCTGTCACTACAGGCTCTGATAAAAGTCTGTCCCCATCTTTCTTATAGGCCCCTTCAGTTACTGGGAGGCCACTAGAAGGTCTCCCCGGAGCCTTCTCATCTCCAGGCTGAACAGCCCCAACTCTCTCAGCCTGTCCTCACAGCAGAGCTGCTCCAGCCCTCGCATCATCCTCGTGGCCTCCTCTGCACTGGCTCCAGTAGCTCCATGTCCTTCTGCTGTTGGTGGCCCCAGCACTGGAGGCAGCACTGCAGGTGGGGTCTCACCAGAGGAGAGTAGAGGGGACGATCCCCTCCCTCGACCTGCTTTCGATGCATCCCGGGACAAGGTTGGTCTTCTGGGCTGAAATAATCATTACTGTACCTGAAGGTGGCACTACAAGCCCAGGGAAGGAGCCCCTGACACCGCTGCTGCTGGAGGGCCAGCTTTGCAAGAGGCCCATTGGGCAAGTCTCACCTGCCACTGTAACATCCGTATTTCTGCCAAGGGGCAGGGATCAGAAAGGCCAGCCGAGTGACATTCTCGTGTGCCCTACAGAATGCAATGGTCACTTCATTGTATTATTCTTACTTGCCTCCCCTGACAAATCCCGGCTGAGTGAGCAACTCCATTTTTTGGGCAGTTTTTGCTTCTTCCTAAATTTATTGCTTATATTTATTTGTTCTCTTTTCTCCCAGTTTTGTCGAATAATTTGCATAAGCAATGCTCCTGTATTTGCTGTTCTCTGCTGCTGTCAGATGAGGCACACAGTCTCACCTAACAACGTTACGCAGAAAATTAAATTCTCCTCCCACTGCCTGTTTCTAAAAAAAAAAAAATAAAAATAAAAATTTCTGGAAATACTGTGATATTCAGAAAGGTTAAATTTGGCACAGAGAAATCATAGCAAAATCAACAACCTACAACGCCATTGATGCGTGAGCAGTAAGTACAAATATAAATGTTTTTACAACTTATCATCAATCAGAAAAATCTTGTTTTTCCACATGATGTACATAAATCATACTGTATTATCTCTATTCTGGTGACATAATCTAGATGCACAGGAATTAGATTAACTTCTCTTTAAACAATTTTTCTAAATCAGTTTTTCTTGTTTGAAATCTGCTTTTCCTCAAAACCTGTTTTTTTTCCTGATGTGGCAGACAACAATCTATGGAAATGGATCTTCCTCAGACCACCGAGCATCCATCTCTCTATTCTTATTAACACTGGTATTAATTGCAGGATAATTTCAGTGTTTAAAACATCATTTAGTTAGTACAAGACTGTTGTTCATGCTGAAGGAAATTAAAATGTCTGTGAAATCCTTTTAATTGCAGCTTATACAAGTTCACAACTCCCTGAAAGGAGGGTGGAGAGAGGTGGGGGTGGGTCTGTTCAACCAAGGACCAAGGGACAGGACAAGAGGAAATGGCCTCCAGTTGTGCCCAGGGCAGTTGAGATGGGATGTGAGGAAGAATTTCTTCACTGGAAGGGTTCTCAGGCACTGGAACAGGCTGCCCAGGGAGGTGGTGGAGCCCCCATCCCTGGAGGGATTTAACAGACGGGTAGATGGGGTGCTCAGAGAGATGGTTTAGCAGTGGACAGGTACAGTTGGACTCAATGATCTCAAAGGTCTTTTCCAACCAAACGATTCTGTGATTCTATGAATATGCCACAAATGGTTTTATTCATCGGAGCACATTTTTACAGGATTAGCCCCACGGTGATCCTGACTAAGAGTACACAAAGTGCTTACAACTTCCAGAACAGCCCTTGAGCCTGAAATTTTCCCAGTTTTAAGCCAACAACTGAGAAGTTTCCCAAAAATACATGTTGTACTGCATTGGCACATCTCTGTTGGCTATGTATGATGTGAGTCTCCTTTGTTCTCAAAGTCTTTGCAAGCCAATTCCAAAAGTCAAACATCATTTTGTGTGCACGGATACTAGAACGAGAAGCCCCGTGACTCACCTGCACAGCCCAGAGGTAGTCCAGACGCAGCTTCAAGTCCACCTGCCTGGAATGCAGTGCCAAAGCACAAGAAAATAGCAAAATGGCTAGGATGGGTTCATAGCCACGCATATAAAAGGAGCCACCCCTTGAAAAGAGAAGGAAAGGAAACGGGTTAGCCCACGTTTTCCAACACCTAATGCTGCCTATTTTTAATATCTTCAGAACATGTGGGTACCCCCTGACCACCAGCCTCTTCTGAAGAGGCAGGGAGATGGGTGACAGTAAATCTGCTCACTGCATCACACCAACATTCACATTCTGGAGGATTTGATAATGCTGTATGTTACTGTAATGCACATGTACGCTTCTAGTTAGGAAAGAGAAAAACACTCAAAAAGTCAGAAGCTTGAATGAGATTGGAACTGGTTGAGGGCTGCTGAAATAGGGAAGTGGAGTCTTTAAAAGTTATTTTCTATTTCATATTATAATTAAGACTATGGTGTGTTCACAGCTGGGGTATGTCACCATGTGGCAGGGGAGGGTGAGGGTGGCCATGAGGAAAAGGTTCTTGAGGCAGAGGGTGGTGGAGCCCTGGAACAGGCTCCCCAGGGAGGTGCTCATGGCACCAAGCCTGACAAGATTCCAGCAGCATTTGGCCAACATGTGCCCTCAGGGACATGGTGTGAATGTTGGGCTTGTCCTGTGCAGGGACAGGAGTTGGACTGGATGATCCTGGTGGGACCCTTCCAACTCACCACATTCCATGATTCTATGATTCTACAGGATAATGGGGCAACAGATGCTAGATCCCCAAAAGCTGGTCTCCTGCTGATGGATATTACTAGATCCTACAACTGCTGGGGAGAGGATGGCTTCAGCATCTCTTATCCTCTGCTGAGTCTACAGCCCCATGCAGCACTGAACGCCAGAGGACAACTGACAGATGAGTAGTCACCATCATGACTATCTATGCAGAAACCCCCATTGCCTTCACTTTGCAAGGTACTTACCCCACTGCTTTTCTGTAACCGCTGAGTTCCAGAATAACTATGTACAAAATAGTAACAAAAAGCAAGAGAATCATTTTGGGCAAGGAAGATACGCGTAGAAATATTGCCAAGGTGAGAGTCCCCACTACGCAGGAAAGGAAAGCGTAGTGGGCTGTGTCGCATGGAAGTTCATTCATGGTTTTATTTGTTCCACCAGGAGAAATGATAACTATTGAACTGCTGGAATTGGCATTCCAAACCCAAGGCATACAGCCAACCTGGAAGAGACAGGAGAGGCGACAAGGGGAGAAAGTTAAATATGGAAATAAACAGCAATGCAGCTGCTCTGGGGGCTGACTGTAGCTTGTTTCTGGTTGGGAAAATATGGTTCCCATCCAGCTCACTGCTCTAATAAAATCTCATTCTTTTGCTCAGTTTTAGGTGGGAGACATTCTTTGCTCATTAGATGCCAAGCAAAGCCAACCAATTAAAGGCTGGGCTTAGTTAAACAGTTTCCCTTTCAACGCTCAAAACCAAGAGATTGTCAAGCCAACATATCCCTGTGAAATTAAGAAACTCCAGTAAACATTTTATGTGGCCGTGCGGGTGAGAAAGGTTCGTGCACAGGGCACGGGAAGAGAAGCGTTTGTTTTATTGACTGTGTAAAAGGTATCAGTTTCAATTAATCAAATTTAAAATAAAACATTTGAATCCTTGATTGAAAAGCTAAACATCAATAATATCTTTTCTCCACTTCAGAGCTACTTCTGCTATCACATATGACTCAAATACAAGGTGTTATCGTTAATTATCCCTGCCATGTCAGGTATCCAAGGAGTTCCATTTCCTCCCTAGACTGGGAAATAAAAAAATGTTTTAGTGCATTTCCTAGGGGAGAAATTTGAGGAAATTTAACATACTTCTTCCAAAGGCAAAGTCATGTACGTGGCTCAGAGCTGTTACCCGAGGAAGGGAGGAATTTCTGGCAAACAGTGCAGGTCCCTAGAGCTCCACTTTTAATTGCACTCTAACCTTCACCCCTAACGAAGGGAGAGGATAGGAGTTAGCAGAAATGGGGAGAGTGGGATGGCAGTGTGAAATTGATTTTAACAGGCACCGCCGCATGAGCTCTGCCCTGTACTTAAGCTTCTCTTTTGAAGGGTGTTATTAGACCTTTTTATTTCATGCTAATCACCGATAATGACATTTTACAGCGCGCTGTAAAATAACTGACAACCTGAAAGGTGATTAAGCAACATATTTTACAGGGGGTTGTAGTAATTTAAAAAGATGAGACGTAACAGATAAAATGTGAGTTAAACTTATAGGGGCTAACATTATGAAACGAGAAGAGAAAGAATGAAGTGAAAAATCCATTCAATGTGATTTTGTTCAATATCCTTAAAAACGCTCTTGATGCTAAACTCACCCGAACACGTGGGCGTGCATGAGTGCTTCATCAGTGATGTGCAATCCACCCAGGAAAACACCACGTGCTCGACAATTAAAAGTGAAACCTCAACACCCAGCTCCTCTGCTAGCTGAGAATCCTAGAGACATTACGTTGCAGGAGCTAATCATTTCTACTGATTAAACATTTCTCCTAAGCATTTCAATGGTTACAGAGTATTTTTGCTTCAGTAAAGGATAAAGTTATATTTGTGACCTATTCTAAGTCGTATTTGTGATCTCTTCTAGGTTGTAACTAAATGATCACTGCCTTGTTGAAGGCCAGAACTTCGGAATCCTCATCTGCCTTCTTCCACCAATGTTCAACATCGCCCTAGGCGACGATTATTTGTCATTTTGGGATGTCCTGAGAGGTACCAAGAGAGACAAGGGATCTTCTTCTCCATCATGGAAATCAGCTTGGTAGATGTTCTCAGGGCAGGTCCAGGGATGAGTGAATACACAAAATACAAAAGAAGGGGCTTGGCGTCTCAGTCAGCACCGTGAATTGCTCATGAAACCACTGCCTTCCAATTGGACAGAACACATTGCCTCAACCCCGCAGAGAGGCACGATTTGAGACATCTGCCTTCTCAGCAGTTCCAATTGTGCTATTTTTGCATGGCTCCTTTCCTTTGGGTACCCTACCATGTTTAATTCATTAGCACTAGCAGCCAAAATGCTGAAATTGAGTGCTAGGAATTTGACAAGGCAACTAAATGCCAAACACTTTGGTGGAAGTTTAAATCCCATTTGACATTCAAGTCTCCCGTGTAGAACGAGCTGCTAATCTACAGCAAAAGAAGCTCAATTTTCAGAAGTATTGAGCAAGTTGGGAGCTGGAACTGGATGATCTTTGAGGTCCTTTCCAGCCCAGACCATTCTATGATTCTAGGATTTTATGAAGTTCACTTCATACAAGAGAAGCTTCCTAGAGAGTAGATGTGAATGGCTCATGCGAGCAGCACAGCCTAAGTACCTCTTCTCGTTACGCAATACCACCCATATTTAAAAAAGATATATAAAAGATCTCATGATCTTTTCTGATCTGCCTGGACAGACAATATCCCCCTGTTATTACACAGCAAGATGTTCTATAAGTTGCCACACAGAAGTAAGTAATGTTGTTTGACATCATGCCTTGCCTGTCACAAAATACCAGCCGTTGAACCCGTAAGCAAGTTAAACACTCCAAAATAGTTTCCCATAGAGTATGTGACAGCAGCAGACTGTGTGATACTAGGGTTTGATATCAACATTTCTATAGGTGCTGACTAGGCATTATCTGTGAAATTTGGTAATAGCTTGGCCATTTCCTAATTCAACACCCTGACTCAGGGCAGTGAAAGTTCAAATTACAGCAAAAAGGCTTTAATTTTGAAGAAATAGGCTCTGCAAGTATGAATAGTAAGAGTAGGAATTCACCAGATGAGAATATGGCCTGTGTTTGATGGATCTGTACCAGCTTGTTCTTTAAACAGAATGATAAATGAAGCAATACTTGATTTAAATACTCACCACACATCCTTGAGCCACCGAGTATATTAAGATCACAATAAAAATACACAAAATGGTACGAATTTGTATTGTCAGGCACCCTGGAAAACACTAAGGAAGGAAAAAAAAAAAAAGACTTATAGAAAAAGATTTGAAAATATTTTTTAAGTGAGGTTGTTATTTTTCAGTTGTCTATAAAAAGAAGAGAGGGATACAGAAACTTTGCCCGCACTTCAAATTATGAAACAAGCATGTAGTTATTATTGTGTACATGAGTTTTAATGGTATTTTCATTTTTGAGAGTAATAGATGCCAAATTATTATTACTCTCCATTATTTCTCACTATAATTAAAAATCTGAAAGATTAGTAGGATGTCTGCTCATAATGCAAATAACAAATTAAGATGGCATTTGATTTTGTTCCCATGGGGAAAATACCCAAAGCATCTTTTGCCTTGCGAATTATCAGCTACAAATCCAGCAGAACATACCGTGGTAGCACAGTCTCTGGAAGTGCTATTTGTGTCTTTTGCAGTAATAGTCACATTAAATGCCAAGGTAGTTTTAATTATCAGGGCTCATTAAAAATATTGAATTTGTCAGAGCAGAAGGAGCAACAGAGAACCAAAATGTCCGGTGGAATGGAGCCTTGCAAATCTCCTGCCCATCTCCATTTTTATCCCGATTCCATCACGGTGACGTGTGAGGCGCTTGCTGCTGTGAGCATGGATGGAGCCAGTGACAGAGGGTGAGAGAGGAAGGGTAAGTCTGCCAGGGTCTAGTACTTCTGCTTGTTCCAACCACACTGATCTACTCTGCTTTCCTTCTTTTTCCCTTGCATGAGGAATGTCTGGGGCATTGATTATCTACCGGATCCACAATACGTCTTTCAGACCACAGGACTTCTTCCAGTGACTTCAAGAGGCAAGAATCAACCCCAAGGAGCAATCAGATTTAAAGGAGGAACAGTCCTGTGTCCCTTAAAAGGCAGGGGCTCAGGCTCAGCAAAGCTGGACTTTACTTAAGATCAAATGGAGCAAGCAAACACCTAATTTTTGGATGAAAGTCACCAGTCCTGAAGAAAAGCTGTTCACTTCATGGGTATCACCAACATCAAAAGCACAGCTTCCAGCAGGCAGTGAAGTACCCATGGAGAGGGGCTCCTGTGGCCCTGGCACAACAGAAATCATGAACTGAAACTCCTCCCCTTCCTCTCTCATGTCCAGAGACATTTCCCCTGTAGGTGTGACCATGAATTAAAGACCTGAGATAGTTATAGGTGAGTCAACTCCAACTGGGCTGTGAAACATGAGAATACAACAATTACAGAAAAAAATAAAGACACGGGGAGTCTGCAAAGACATTGTGGCTGCAGCACGGATGACACCCATACACAGGGAGATGGGAACAACCACTGCAATATCAACGGTGGATTTGTACAAGCGCGTGAGGGACCCGAGTTAATTGGCTACACCAGAAATTAGCTTAACTATTAGTCAGCATCAGTAAAATATATTGGGATACCCGAGGTATATCACTTGGAATAAAGCAGTGAGCGTATTTCAGAACAAAAACCTTGAATTGTAAGAATCTCACATTGAAAAGCTGTGTCTCAAGGGAGGGGACAGAGCAGAGTCCAAAATGACAATATGAAAAAAGAGACAGACTATTTCTGCATGTATTCATCATCAACATACAATTTAGGTTGGAAGGGACCTCCAGGGGTCCAAAAGCACTGTCTGCCGTGACCTCCAGGGCTGTTTCTGCAGAGGTGGTCATTCCTCCCCTGTGTCATTGCAGGGGGCTGTTCCTCTCAGGGCCTGGACTCTGCTTGCATCCATGCTGGGCTGCACAAGATTCCTCCTGGCCCATCCTGCCAATCTACCTCGGTTCCCTTCAGTGGTCACCCTGACAGTGTGTTGGCTGTTACCCCAAAACTGGAGTCACCTGAAAACTTGACATGCGTGTACTCCATGTTCTTCTCCAGATCCTTGGTAAAAACATTTAACAGGAGAAGTCCCAGGATAAACTCCTGTGGTCCCCCACTTCTTCCTGGCTTCCAAGTGGAGTACAACCTTGAACTACTATGCTCTAAACATGATCATCCGGATGGTTTTTAAACCATCAAGTTGTCTATCCAACTAGACAAAAGTCTTATGCACACATGAGGTGGAACATGTATGATTTTATCCACACAAATAAAATACGAAGTAATAATTTTCTTTGAAGGAAATATAAATATTCCATTAATTCAGTTTGCAACCAAATAGGTTATCTACTGCTTGTTAAAGAGAGAATCCCCACAGTTCCAGGATAACACTGCATGGTTCATAGTGACAAAGCAAAATGCAGATTCAAAGCCAACGTGTCCAGACACATGGCACTGACATTTCTGTGTGTGTGTGTGTGTGTGTGTGTGTGTGTGTGTGTGTGTGTGTGGTAGGTCTGTGTTCTAAATGTTGACATGCTAGGCTATTGGGGCAAAAAGGAAAATAAACCTTTAAAAGGTAAGTTATGAGACGTGTCTGAACTAAAACGCTGACTGACACTGAAAAGATTTATACTTCTGACTTCTGGTCACTCTAAGATTGTGTCTGCTCTTTTATGACAGCACAGCGATTTGGGCTTCAGTTTCTTTGGTTTCCTTTACTTGTGGAATTTCTATTAACTAAGTAAGTACTGTCAGATCCCCAGAATGCTAGGGGACTGCTACAGTAAAACATTACTGCAGTGGTTTAACAAGTGAGGCGCTTGATTCTAACACATGGAGAAGCTGAGTCACACGTCCAGTGTAAAACAAACTCATCTATCATATGACAAATTTTTGCCACAGAATTTCAAACTGCTATATTCTGAGTTTTTATATTTCTTTATTTTCCTAATGCTGGATTTGATCTTGTAAGGTAGTGAATCTCTAGAGGAACCTGGAATAAATTCAAATTCTGTTGACTGCCAGAACAGCTGGAACAAACCTTAAGTTTGCACCAGCCCTAAGGAAATGGCATGAAGAGGAGCAGTTGCCTGCAAACCTCGTCTGTGTTTCTACTGTGCACAGAGAGAACAGATGATAAACTCCTGTGCCTTTGTGAAACAAAAGAGATCACCAAAATTGCTCCTAAACAACTGTGTAAGTTTATTTATAAAGATCTGTTCTGTATCAGATACTCTGCTAATATACTGTTTATGTTTCCATGAAAACAATTACTTACCTCCTGCTAAAGGGCATCTTTTCTTAAATAAAAATTAGTGTGTGCTAATCAGCAAAGCTGATTAACTGTGTAGGTGTTTTCTCCTGATAGTTCTCTCAAAAGACTAAATTTAGATTAAGCCACTACAGATATCTTTCATCAGAAAATTAGTCTGTAGATGCTTTATTCTGATCTGGCAGACCTAGTTCTCTCCTCCAACAACCAAACATCCTTCTGCATCATTACTGTTGTGAACGTGTAATGCAGGAGAATTAATCATTACTGAAGGTTTTGAAAAGGCCAAGGGCTGCCTGTGCAAAACCTTGTGCTTTACCATCAAAAGAGCTGCCGCTTGGGCAGGAAAAGTTTAGAGAACAGAGGGGAAGTTAGCAGGACTTTACACCTGGATCCCATTCAGAAAGGAGAAAAAAATCAGGTGAGAGCAGCTGTTCATCTGCACACTGCAAGGGTCCAGTAGTTGGATCTTGTGGTTGGTGTTCAGGGAAGAGGTAGCAAAAAAGACAAAAAGCACAGCGTTAATGATGCTGCACTGCTCTAACAGCTACTCATCTGAAATGTCTACTTGCAGGTGAACCATCTCTGTTATTGAAGTGCCCAATACGTTATTACTTAGCAATGAACTTGAAAAGCACATAGATTTCAGACTCCTGAATCTGTGAAGCATGGGCTGATGGCTTCACATTCCAAAGGACAAACAAGGCAAAGCCACCAAAAGGAAGAGTTGTAAGATCTTAAATCACTTACTTGTACTCGTGTGACATGTAGGTACATAATACAAGCCACTAGGAAGCATATGCAGAACACCAGGAGAACAAGAACTAGGATACTCCTAGAATCAAAACACAACACAAGTCAAGCAATGCCACTCCATAGCAGATGAGAACCAACAGCACAGAGGCCCTTCTGAAATGGCACTTTGGCTGAAGGGTGGGGGACCTGCCCCTCACCCTTGCTGTAATGCTAACTGTCACAGGGAAACGCACAGGAATGAGAAATCAGTAAATGCTCTTGTCTGTGGTGCCCACTCTGACCTCAGCAAGGAGACCAAAGCACCTCAAAAACTCAACCGTATGGTGTGTCAGGAGAGACACTCGCTAACTGCAGACTAATGGAGAATATTCAGCATGACGACTCTTACAAAGGGAGTAACTCAATTACTTGGCCTTGGCAGCTGCCTAACAGTTACCAGATCCTTTTCCCTTCTAATCTCTCCTTCTTAAAAGATTCAGAAATCAGAGTTCAGTCAACTCAGTCACTTATCAACTCAAATCAAATCAGACCAGACTGTGATCCCTTCTTCTAATGAAACAGAGCAACTCCCTCCATCTTCCTCAATGCTTAGAAAAATCTTAGGTTTCACAAAGATGCTGTCATAATGCTTTTAGTTCTTAATCTTCCCTCTCCTGATCTTTTAAAATAGGCTTGGTCTTCATGAGGAGTGTGGACCAAGCTCTCCCCTCCTCCAGAAAAAACGTGTTACTGGAACAGTACCTTATGGATGTGAGCGAGCTAGCAAAAATGAGCCCACCAGTGCTGGTGCTTTGACTTATGCTCAGGGACAGCCTGGCCTCAAGCCAGCTGTGCAACCAGGGCCCTGTGACAGCAGCAGAACATGATCTTCACACCTTCTTTTCTAGACTTATGAGAACAACCCAGACAGTCCAGAAGATGTAAGCCATGCCTGCAGGTATCCATGTATCTGTGCTCTGCAGTTTGTGTAGTGATAACTTTGATACCAAAAACCTCAGTGCGGGTTATAAATTTGGGTTGAGAAGCTGGATGGATACTTCAGTACTTAGTTCCCATTATGCTCTGTATAGTTTTATCTCTGTTGCTCTCAATACCTGAAGTACCTTGTCCAAAGCCAGCACAGATACATTGAGAAAAGCTGCAGTGACAGCTTTGTTTGTACTGCAGAAATGCTTTAATGAAGTTTAGCAGATTTCAGTGGTTTTGATTTCTAAGTGCATCCTTCTACCAAAAAATACAAAACAAAAAAAAAAGGAGAGAGGGAACAGGGAAGAAATTGTTTTAAATAAGATAGCAAAATGTGGCTCATTTGGACAAATGGAAGAGTTAACAGTCAGACTGAGGGTCTACCAGCAGAGAATCTCCTCTTTGAGAAGATACCAACCCAGGTGCTAATTCCCATTCCAAAGACATTAATGTCTTGACCTGTGCAAGATGCTTGAAGATGAATTATAAAGCAAAAGACTTACTGCGGTATTATTAGAAGGTAGACAAGGCCAAATAAGGCAGCTAGAATTAGTGAGAGAACTACAGCACTGGTGAAGTACTCATCCTGAAGCTGGTGGTACTGTTAAAGAAAGGAAGAAATTAAGACAGGAAGCATTTTGTACGCACCCAGCCACCCACGCTTCTCCATTCTCAGCAAGAACAAACTACAGCCTGGATAAAACAAGCCCCTGCCCACTGTACACCAGACAAATAATCCTTGCTTAATTCACATGAAAGGCAAGTCCACACAAAGCTTTCCTCGCCAGCCTTCGGCTCCACCTGCTCCTGTTGGCCTGGCTCTTCAGTTCTCACCCTGTAACTCGGCAGATATGGGTTAGGCCCAGGCATCAGTTTGTCTTTCTGAGCAAAAAGGCCTCAGCTCTTTTGGACCAGAAGGAGGTAGCACTCCCTCCTCTCCACTTATTTGTCATTAAAAAAAGGCCAAAGCTCCCTTGGTGCTGCCTTCAAGGAGTGCTCAGTCACCTCAGCTGCTCAGGACAGGACACTAACGGAAGCAGCTGCTAATGAGAGACATGGGCTCAGCTTTGAGCAATTTCTGTCTCTCATTCCATGAAGCCACATCCTTACAACAGGGCAGTTTTCAGGGGTGGAAATGCATGAGTGTTTTCTCAGAAAGACCCAAATTTCAACCTCATTTAGGCCAAAAGACTTTCTCATTTTGAAAACAAATAAATAAATAAATAAAACATCACTGAGGAAACTTGAAATCACAGTTAATGCTCAACACCTTAAAAAAAATTGTGTCCTATGTGGCACACAGCCTTGTGACTCCAAACAGGAGTGACTTACAGTGGAAAAATAAATGCTACTGTCAAATTCATCCAAAATCACAACACTTCTGCTTTTTCAAACACATAAATGAAAAGCTGCTTGCTTTTTTTTTTTTACCCCCAGTTAAAAACTTCTTCACTCCAAGGGCAGTCAGGCACTACAACCTTCCAACCCAATCTATTCTATGATTCTATGATTCTATGATAACCCCACACAAGGTCGATCAAACAGCCCTTTGTTAGTTACATGCTTATAGTTCTGGAGTACGTCCACTCCTTTCAGCACAGTCACACCGGTGTTAGACCACAACCGTGCCCAGATATTGAAGATATTTGAATATTTTCTGGGACTGATGGGATCAATACTTATCAGGCTGCACATGCAGAGGGAAGCATTCTCCTGTCCTGAATGCTTCTCCAGAGCAGATGAGTCAATGGGCAGCCACGTTGCCATGAGACAGCATCAAAGAGGTGACACAGGGCAGGCAGTTTGGAGAAGCCAGAACACAGGATGTGACATTTTATTATCTTGATGAGTAAAAAGATACTGATCTTTCTTTTTATCCCCTCCAGGTGCTTCTAGAGAAGGTGGGGATAATGTCTCCCTCTGAACTGAGAGACAGTCCAGAGGGTTACTTAAAGATAGTGAGTACAATCAAATACTGTCTAAAACCAAATAAAAAACAGTGCTAGTTGGCTCATGGTCAGCAAAATCAGTAAAAATAATTTAAAAACCCCTTACTTTGTTTTCACGCTCAACTTGCTTATACTTCAGGGTGATGAAGTTCAGGTCGGCCATCTCAGACTCGGTTTGCCGGGCCTCTATCAAGCGGCTGATGTACCTGTTCACTCGAGTCCCAGGAGTGTTGTACACAACATTGGTAGAAAAAGAGGAACGATTCCTGAGTTTTTCAGAGGCTGTCCTCAACGCTCTCCTCTGCAGCATAGGTGGAGAAAGAAGCACAGGTTTTATTAACGTTGAAATTCTTCATTGCTGTTCATGTCATCTCAAGCTCACAGCCAGGATGAGGAATTTATGAAGCAGAGCTACTACAAAAGACACATCTTCTCTCTGTGTGATTGCCATCTTTTAAAAACTCCACAGCTGTAATCTTGATCTCATTAAAATCACGGAGGAAACCCACCTCTGCCTTCCAGGATTTCAGTTCTCATCCCAATCAGTGTGACTTTAACTAGAAAAATAATTAGAAGGGGCTCCAGGACAGGTGGGGAGGGACTTTGGCCAAGGGCAGGGAGAGACAGAACAAGGGGTGATGGCTTCAAACTGGCAGAGGGGAGATGGAGCTGAGATGTGAGGAAGAAATTGTTTGGTGTGAGGGTGGTGAGACAGTGTCCCAGGTTGGCCAGAGAAGCTGTGGCTGCTCCTCCCTGGAAGTGTTCAAGGCCAGGTTGGATGAGGCTTTGAGCAACCTGGTCTAGTGGAAGGTGTCCCTGCTGATGGCAGGGGGGTTGGGACTGGATGAGCTTTAAGGTCCCTTCCAACCCAAACCATTCTATGATGCTATAATCTGTAGACAGCAGGTTTCACCAGCATGAAACAATTCTGAGGTTACTTGAACCATTTTTCTTCAACCCTTTAGATGCCATTACTTGTCTGTGATGTAAGAACTCATTGCTTCAACACGAAAAATAATCTTGTGGACGTATAATCTGTAGACAGCAGGTTTCACCAGCATTAAACAATTCTGAGGTTACTTGAACCCTTTAGATGCCATTACTTGTCTGTGCTGTAAGAACTCATTGCTTCAACATGAAAAATAATCTTGTGGACATACATGGATGAGAGTTTTCAAATCTGATCTTCTGGGTTCTATTCTCCATAACATAAACCTTAAATTACCAGCCAAACAACTATTCTAAATGTTTCTAAACAAAGATGAAGTTGTTCTCTTGCAGAAGGTATTTGTCCCACAAGTTTGTAGGGAATTTTTGTGTTTTCAGGAGTATTGTTGGGAATACAGTTTTCTCTCCAAAGATAAACAACAATTACTCAGTATATGTATTGCTTAAGGTGCCATAGAAAACACATCTTTGGAGATTTTTTATCATCCAAACTTAAACCCATAGAGTAATAACAGAGGTGAGCAAAACAGCATTTAGGGGGAAAAAAATCAAAACTCTTCTTTGCTTTAAAATCTGGAATGAGGGTAGATAATGGGAGTTATTCCAATATATGGAATAAACTATGTTATCTATTTTGAAATAGGGCTTAAGTTACTGAGCTTCATCAAAATAGCTGTTGCTCACATAGAATTATTTCACTAGCTCTCTTATTTTTATCTCTATAATTATTTCACACATTAGACTTACATTATGTCTTATATGTGATCAAGATCCAGTATTTATGTTTCTTAGAAATTAAATAAACAAGCACATGCTACTGTAATGTACTGGCTTCAAAGCCACTGCTTGTTTTACGTGATCTGAGGACTGATATCTTGGAAGAAATCCTGCATTGCAACACAGTGTATTTATGCTAAAATAGTGTATCGCCCTCCACAATAAATGTTATGTATTAGGTACCAAAGCTCAGGCCATTGGTTCAGTTAAAGATGGCATTGTAGAACTTCACTGTAATGGAAATAAAATGAAATAAAATGAAAATTTTAATCAGATCCCCAGCAAACCCATATTGGGATTTTCTGCATATACTACCATATTTATACACATATATACACAGGACACATTGTAACTGCATACGCTTCAAATAACGTGTGGGTTAGTTTTTTAAATATTCAGAGAACAGTACTAATTCACAACTGAAATGCTTCTGAAATTCTTCACTGAAACTGTTTTAAAGGAACTAATAGACTTTTCTCCCCTTTTCTTGCAGAAGAAACACAAGCAGATTTAAAACCCAAAGTATAAAAGTTCGAATGCTTTCTGAAAGTGAGATTTAGGCTGAATAAATGTGCTTTGTCTGAAAAAAATAATAAAAACAAGGCAGAGCAATCAGTCAAGCTGAACGTTGTATTCCAGGGAGCAGCAGCCTGGCCCTGGGCACGGTGGGGTGGCCTGTGTAACATTGCCACCTGCTGGCACAGACCGTGGGAGGAGCAGCTCCCCACAAGTTATTTTCTCCATAAATTTCTGGGTAGATCCACACACAGGAAAGGTTAACCCAGGCTACCAGTATGTGAAGCAAACCCGAGTTACGGCATTACAAGCCTCTCAAGAAAACAGCATTCCTATTTGCATTAGTGACTTTTGCATGAGGGACTAAGAGGGCTTTTGGCCCATCAGTTGCTTGTCATTTTTTAGGGAACTGTCTAAGAGATTATTCTGTTATTTTGCATTTACTACTCATGATGCAAAAGAACAGCTCCTGGTAACTGCAGAAAAAACCCTCAGAAACTCTAGTTCCTGTGAAGGAAGCCCATGACAGAAGCCACATAGGTGACCTGTGCTGGCTTGTTCAAGAGGAGCTCCAAACTGAAAGCCTGTTAATTAACGTTTTGTCTTTGCTGTGGGCATTCACCAGCTCTAGCTCCATCAGGAACACCAGCAATTCCTCTGTCAATTGGTCAGGTCACCGATACGTTCTCAGAGGAGGTCTCCCCTGGAACCAGTGCCCAAAGAGCCCACACGGATCATCGTCACCCTCACCTTATCATCATCCTCACACGTCATGACGTTGGAGAAAGGGATCTCCGCCTTGAACATCTTCCGACAGTGCATGAGCTGGACAAGCAGGTAGCAGACTGTCTTGAACTTCATTCTTTTGGCAGGCTTAATGTCTGAGAGAATCAGTCCAGGAAATATCTGTTGGTCAGAAAAAACCCAGTATTTATGGCTGTGTCCTTCCATCCCCGTGCCGACACACAGACCTGCGGGCGTTTCCACTGTCTGGTGGTCAGAACAACGCAGCAGTCGAATCAAGAAACAATGCATTTTGATAAACATTGTGTATTTGTAGATGAAGATGCCTTCATCTTTTTTTTTTTAACCTGAGATATAAAGAATCTATTGAACAGACAGTGTTTAGACACATCAACATTTTGGGAACTCCTTTACACTTAGAAATGTAAACTATAAAAAAAAAGTGTATTGATGACAAACTCATGAAAGAGGCAATATTTGTATTTCTTTAACCTTAAAATAAAATCTGAGAAAATGCAGGAAAAAATAAGGAGAAAATTAGCATTTTTATTAACTGATGTCAAACCCCATAATTTCAGTCTTTTCCTTATTTCCTCCTTTTGTTCCTTCAGCCATTGGTAAGCCCATTAAAGTCAGAAGAGGGTGGATTTTGCTTTAAAGATATACTTACATACATGTCCCAAAAGGAGGCTGTGAGGCACTGAGGTGATATTTTACATCTAATTTCTTCAAGGCAGTAAGTGTTGTACCACAGAGAAATATTCTGAAAGGGTTGGGTATAATCTATTCCTTCAGCAAAGGCTCCCCAAAACAATCGGGTTCTAAAGCACATGACATACGAGAAGAACCTGAGAGAATCCAGTTCATTTAGCTGGGAGAAGAGAAGGCTCAGGAGCGATCTAATTCATCCCAAAAATGTGCAAGAGGAAATGAACATGGGTTGGACCAAAGGAAATTCCTATTTGATGCAAAGAACAGAAATGTTAAGACTGAAGATGATCAGATCTGCCCAGAGAAGCTGTGGCTGCTCCTCCCTGGAAGTGTTGAAGGCCAGGCTGGATGAGGCTTTGAGCAACCTGGTCTAGTGGAAGGTGTCCCTGCTGATGGCAGGGGGGTTGGGACTGGATGGGCTTTAAGGTCCCTCCCAACACAAACCATCATGCATCATTTTATATACAGCTTTTTATTTATTTATTTATTCTAGTGGTTGGAGGACATACAGCTTCTGCACTGGGACTGAGGATTTTCCATTCTATTATTATATATACACACTAGAAAACATGCAAACAAAGGGCATTTTTTCCCCACTTTCCTCTCACAAATCACGTCCCCTTTTTATTATTACTTTTACAGCACAGTAACACTTTCGACACAGTGAACTTTGAGTGGAATATTGAAGTAATCTCCCCTTCTGCCGTAAGCCTCTGATAAAGGCAAGAAATGCAGTACAGGTTGTTAAAACAGACTTAAAAACCCAAACCAAACCAAAACCAAGCCCCAAAGCCCAAGCCCACGTTTTTCCCTCTGCCTTTTCTCTGCGCTCGCCCCAGGCCAGCGTTACAGGAAAGCTGCAGAATTCTCATTCCAGCTCATTTTGACAACACATTTTGCTTTCACGCTTCTTTTGGACCCTCGGGATCATCTCTTATTCTGTTCATTGTTCATCTGCTTCAAGATTTGAGGAGAGGGTGGCTGTTTGCTGCGGCACAGCTGGTAAATAAGGTGAAGAGAGCTGAGATTTCCTACCCGAGCAGCCAGCCTCTCCACGGCGCACACGGAGAACAAACCAGCGCTGATTAAAATTCTGGGAAAACACCCCCGTGCCTGACTGCCTGTAATGCTCTGGGAAGGGATTCGCCGGTGCTTATCTGGAATTCTCAGAAGCAGTTGTTCCCCTGATGATGTTCAGCCACAGTGCTTGCAACGGCTGGGGAAAGAAGATGCCAATGGCACTCACAGAGCACTCAGAGAAACCATAAATGCTGGAGCAGCAGGTCTGGCCGGGCTCTCGAGCTCCAGGCAGGCAGGACCATGCCCCTCGGTAGCAGTGTTTGTTCCATTCAAGCCATTCTGTCCTGAGATAGGTCAGCACATCTTGTTTATTTTCTTCTCACAGTTCAAATCATCAGACATTTGCTTTTCCATCCTTTCCTACTGCCCCTACAATAGGTTTTCCTTATCACAGCTCAGCTGTCCCCCACGATAGTGTATTACTGGTTTTGACCAGTAAATAATGTACCTTCTACAAGACAAACTGTTAAGGTCCAGAATGGTGTGGCCACTTCCTCAGACGTAGACGAAGTTTTTAGCAGCTGTGAAGACTAAAACAAACTCTAGGAGATCAATAACAGTGATCAATAGCAGTGTCCTGCACTTCTCCCTTCTATGAATTCCACATTTCTCGAGGAGAACGATGTTAGAGCACATAACTCATTCCACCATCGCTGCCAGCCCGAGCTGTGGGCTGTCACATCAGCAACAATGCACCAGCAGCTTCAGGGCAACTGCAGAAACAATCCTGGAGACGGAGAGCTACACACCCTGCAACACAAGCGTCACTGCTCTCTGTGCTCTCTTTTTAAAATAAAA